TGTGGGACGGCAGCACCCAGTTTCGGCCCTGTTGTGCTAGGCACCGTACCACTCCAGAGCAAAAACTCTCACCCGAAAAAGCCTTGGAAAGACAGGGCGTCTTATTCGATGCAGCACGGCAGGTCGATAGGAGAGCTGGGAGTTCAGCAACTGAAATAGTGAGGGCTGTATCGATCCAAACGCTGCGGGGATCGTGGGGTGTGCTGGGGTAACATGTGTCAATGAAAAATGTGTTACTTTGGCCCTTGGGGAACACAAACCACCTGAAGACAGACAGGCAGAGCTGCACCCACTTCTCCCCCGGTGCCAGATAATTTCTGTGAGCCTTTTTTGCACAAGGACTGCTCTTTTTGGCCTGGATGCTCGTGATGTTGTGCTGTACGTTGGAAGCTGGTATTATAAAGTAACCACCTAAACAAGGCAGGTAACGTGGCAGGCCCAAAGGAAGAGCCAGAGGGAGGAGAGGAGAGAAGTTCCTCTGGTCTTCCAGCACGGGAAGGCTCCTCGTTTGGAGACAGAGCGCTGTGTTTCTGTCCCTGCTGGGAAGAATATCGATGAAGCAGCCAGAGCTGGGTCGATTCCCTGAGCTGCCTTCTGGGGATCTGGCGGCTGCTGGATGACCTCATCTCATCAAGGTTTCAGCAGCCTTGCTCCCCTCCTCCTCCCACTGCCCTCCTCCAGCCCCGTCCTTTGGAAAAGGTGAAGGATGGAGTGTGCAGGAGGCTAAAATCCTTCTATCGATCTGTAGTCTGGAGAGCAATTAATGCGAGCCTTCCAGTGCCGCTCCACGACCCGAGCCCTCTCCGGTGTGCGGGAAGGAGGGGCTGCGTCCACAGGGAGGAATGGGAGAGGGGTTAGAAAGTGGTAGCTAAACTGATTAAACCCATAGGTGGGCTGACTTCCAAGTGGGTTTGCTTCGTGCGTTGGTCTCCCAGTTGGCACCTGAATTGTCTCCTATAATGCCAAAAGCAATTGAGACAACCCCATTGCCCTATTGCAGCGTGACTGCTGGATTTGCAGCAGAGGTTTCCCTTACGAGGAAGGGTTGCTCTCCCTGACCCGTTTAGCCTTTGGCTTCTCTTCCGAAGCAGCTGGATATCAGGAGGAGGGAGGGAAATTATAAATGGATTGCGGCATGGGTGGCGAGGGCTTTTACGTGGACACCTGTCTCCAAGACACTGACCTGGGACGATGGATTCTTTTCAGTCCCTCCATGCTGGGCCCCATCTGGTGAAATGCTCTGTAATCCATTACCAGTCTCTCGGACCATCATTTATCATAGAGCAAGACAGAGGAGGCCTGGCAGGAAATAGATGCTGCCCTTTATGCATCCTCGCAGTCCAGCAGGATCCAGTGACATGTCATTATTATAACAGAAGGTGCGTCCCTTCTAGCCGCTTGGCACCTATTTGTTATCATTCTCCAAACTGCCAGAGCAGCGGTGAGTGGGTGCAGCCATGCACGGAGATGGAGCAGACGGTGCCGTATCTTCCCGAGGAGGGATGGGAGGAAGGACAGGAGCCCCTTCTGCTCTAGGGACTTTAAAATTAGAAAGGGCCAGTGACTGGATGCAGCGTGCTGAGGACTGGTCCTTACTAGTTGCAAATTAGATACACGCTGAGGCCAGAGGGACCGCTGTAATCAGCTGCTGTGTCGTCCTAAAGAAGTCCTTCCTGGGGTTATTCCTGCATCTGGTGACTTTGGACCGGTGACGGAGCTGAGGTGGGAGCAAAAGGGCGGGGGGAACACCTGAAGACCAGGCTCCACAACCCTCACTTCAGGGGTGCTGAGCATGCAGAATGGCGACTGAGTCTTTGGAGCTACCAGGGCTGAGCTCTTCTGCAGTCACTGTGAGATTTTGGGCTTTTCTACAGGGAAGAGGGGTTTTTTTGCCACTAACTTCAGTAGAAATAGCTTTCTACCCTGTAGCTTTTAAGTTCTGTGGCACAGAAAGTGCTAATGGGCCAGAACGCAAAGTATTGGTATTTACCTTCCCCCTCCCAAGAATATTTCCACCAGTCAGTCCCTGTTTCCCTGGTATAATTGAGAGGGGAAAACAAACTCTCCGAGATAAATATTTTGGCCGTATTATATTTCTCTGTGTGTGGGTACGTGGAAAATATTTCTTGTTCCCATACAGCGGGCCCCGTCTTGCCCTCAGTCTTGGACATAGGAGGCTTACTGCGTGCGCCTCTGTGTGCATCTTGACCTCTCCCTGCCTTTTTTGTGAGGGCACGAAGAGAGAAAGGAAAGAAAACCACAGAGAAAGGCCTCTGTAGGAGAGGCGGTTGGTAGCCCAGCTCTGCTGGCGGTGTTGGCAACCCTGCGAATGACCCTGCATTCGGTGCGGTTCCAGGATCGCAAGGACGTGTGCAGGAGAGGGGACCGCAGGGAAGCCGTACACCTTTCCCCTCATCCCTGCCAGCTGTGAACGCAACATCTGGGCTGAATCTTTGCCCACACTGGTGAGGACCTGGCGAAGTGCGTGTGGCTGGTGGGGATGGCCCAGCCTCTCTCCGTGCAGGCTGAGGTTAAACCCCGAGGATGGGGAGGGCTGGCTGGTATTGGGGAATTCATTCCCAAGCACTGTGTTGCTGCAATTCAATCCTTGGCTTGCTTTTGGAATAAGGAAGTACCTAACTTTAAAGCAGTTGGCTGTTACAGTCAGATCCCCTCAGAGACGCTTGCTCTGGCTGCAGATGGAGGTGTCTCGCCCGAGCATTGACTGTGCCTGGAATAATTGAGTTCGGTTTCGCTTCCTCTATTTACCAAGCTGCAACCACTCTTCCAAAAAGGAGAAAGAGAATTATACCCCCCCTTGAGAAATAAAAACCCTCCTCTGAAATGGCAAAAAAAAGGAAGACAAGCCCTCGGCCATTTGAGTGTTTTGTGAATTTTAACATAAGCAGCTGTGAGTTTGTCTCCTGGAAGATGGAATGCAGTAGGAATGAGAATGAGGGCTCGTGTCCATCTGTCTGTCTGGTCGCTGGGGGTGGCGAGGGGAAGGAAAATGCTCGCTGGCTGCAGCGGCCTCTGCCTCCACCTCCCGTGCTGCCGGGCGCCTAGCTCGCAGGAAAGCCGCTCGTTTTCTCAGCAGCTGTTATCGGGCACAAACAAGTCTTTGAAGCTTTTTCTAGCTGGAAAAAGAAGGGGTGTGAAGAGAGGGAGATGCTGCCTGGCCTCCTGCGGGGCACAGGGCAGGCAGCGAGCTCGGCACATCGCGGCTGGGCAGAGCGGTCCCGGGGAGCAGCAAGCGGAGCATCTTAGGAGCCTGGGACTTAGGCTGGAGGGGAGAGGACCCTGTGCCTGCAAGAAGGAAAGATTGTGGTAGAGACTAAGGATGTGAAGGAGGTGTGAAAAGTCTGGTTGTTGCACACAGCGAGTGCCCGGAGGGTCCCGGGCTGGTAAGAAGCGCTGGCAAGGAGGCCTGCAAAGATGTGCCCGAGTCCCCGAGGCATGGGGGGAGAGAGGGATGGCCCCGTCCCTACTGCAGAGAGACAGGTAGAGCTGGCAGAGGCAGCAGGCCTTGGAGGGCTCCTGTCTCTCCCCACGGCTCCAGCCAAGACGTGTTGGCACCGGAGTTGGCACTTTTCTGTTTGCGCTGGCCGCGTGTGCAAGGAGAGACGCGGCCTCATCCCCGTTTGCCAGGGGCGTTGGGAGCGGTGGCTGACCCTCTCCCCGCCGGAGCCCGCCGGTCCTTGTCCAGGAGCTGCAGTAGGAGATGCACATCGACTGCCCAGGGCTGCGCGGGGGCCGGGGGCTGCAGTTTTGGTTGGAGCAGACATTGCTGTCTCCCTCCCCGAGAGGAGGTGGCGTTGGCGGGGAGGGGAAGCGAACGGTGCGGAGGGTGAGGCTGGGAAGCGAAGCGGGAAGTTGGGAGCGGAAATGTAGTGGAAATGATTACATAGCGTCTGACTGCTGCTTGTGCAGACCGCTGGTGTTTTAAAAGCATCTGATTGCCGTGATAACTTCCTCTGTAAATCCTGTCCTTTTCCCGTTACCTCGGACCGTGCTGGTGGCTTTGCCAACCAGCTAGCAGCGGCTCCGCGGGGGGGGGTTTGTCCC